TTACAGAAATGGTAATTTTGCTGTTGGGTTTGAATATTTTAGTTGTCGACATTTAGTTTGAGTTAATGGGAGCGATAGTTGTTGGTAATCCAGGTTTTCAAGAGTAAAGTCGCGAGTTGAGTTTGGTGGCTACGTAGGAAATAGAATGTCCAAAATGGTACTTCCAATGTCACACTTAAATATTCCTAACCATCCTATTAACGCCTACAATCATCTAGCAGGAAACGTGGCTCGATTTCAACTTCCGACAAAAACGACCAGATCATTAACAGTCGTGCAACCGAAACTTTCAAATATGGTACTTCCAGCGTCGAATATTCCCTTACCGCGATTCGATCGAAAGCGAGACGGGTGATCTAGCCATAATCAATCGAGATTTCCAGAAGAAAAATCTTCGAATGCGTTCTCGATCCTGCGAGCAAACGGATTCCTTTCTCTCCGGCCTCTCCCTTTCGATGTTCGGCCGCGGTTTCGCCGGGGGAATCCGGTTTTCGAAACGTGGCCGATCGTAGCCACGTGGTGGCCGTTTCAAAACAAACGCGGCCGTGAGGAGCCGAGTTGATCTTTTCTTCTAGAACTTTCCACTCGCTGCGAAAAGGACCCGGACGCCGTTCGCCGTTCGGCCGAACTGTTGCGCAACTTTTCTCGGACAAGTTTCGAGCATCGTCCAGCAGGCGATCGGGACAACGAGAGGATTCGAGGAGCGGATTGGGCAGGTGTGCGCTGCCAAGGCGTGACCGAACGTTTCAACAGATGGATGGTATCGCGAGTTACCCTACAATCGATTGATCGTCGATTATATGGGGTGAATGGGAACTAGGTGATTAGTTATTTATTCAGACAAGCAAGAGTTCAATAGTGTAATCTGCTGATGAGCAAATGTGGAACAATGGGACTTCATGGATATAAAGGAATAATACAGAGATAATGGAAATATTATCATCACTATCACTATTCCTATTATTATTGTTATTATTACGTAATAAATTAATATTAAGAGAAACTCGAACAATTCTAATTTCCATCAATTTGAAAGTGAAACTTATGTATCTGTCTCCTTTGTTCCATTTTTTACCATTAGACTCAAAATCCTATGAGTTCCTATAATCTACTTCAATTGCAATCAAATTATCCCCGTTCTACAATCGCCAATTCCCCTTAAACGGATTCACGAGCGAATCTCCAGAGACCTAGGGCCGAGATCGTTCCAAATCGGAGCCGCTCGTCGTAATAAGCTGCCCATCTCGCAACGCAGTTTCGTAAACAAGGTAATTAACGGCGCACGCGACGACCGTCTTAATTACGCGCGGAGGAGGCCCGGAAAAACGAAAAACGAAGGAAAATAGAACCTCGCGCGGGGAACGGAGGAAAAAAGAGACGAGAGTAACGCGCCGAGGCGCCCCTTTGATCCCGTCGCGCTAATAACTTGTCAGAAAAGTTAATTAATACCGGGCTCGCGGCGGGGAGGGGCGCCGAGCGAAGATGATTGACTTCGTTACGCGTTTCCTCCGTTCGACCGGAGATGAACTTCCGCCTCTCGCGGAGAATCGACTCTTTTATCAGCGATCCTCTCCGCAGCTGAAATTACGTCCGCTTATCGGCCACCCTAACTTCTTTCCGACCGCCTTTCGGCCGGCTAACTTACGATAATTCAGGGTTGTTCCGCGGGAGAACGCGGACCGAGGAATGCAGCGGTTCTCAGCCTAACCTCGTTTGCTTGAAACCGCACCGCTCGCGAGACGTTTAAATCTCTCTCTATTCTGTGAAGTATTTGGCCACTCGGATAGTTATGGATGCTTTGGGACATTCTGTGGTCATTTGGTAGAAAAAGATGGTACGAGGATATATTTTTTAACCTAACTAGTTTTAAATATGGTACTTCCACTGTCAAATTGAAATATTCTCTTATCGCTATTCAATCGAAAGCGACACGGGTAATCTAGTCATAATTAATCGAGGTTGCCAGAAAAAAAATTACCCGAAATACTTTTAACCTTTTGCAGTCGACTTGACTTTTCAAAATTGTTCTATGGAAACCCCAAAGTGAGACTTCTGTCACTCAGAACGTCATTTAAAACAATTTCTTTCGGAATTTCTTAGAGAAGGATCTATTTTCAATAATTGTAAAAGAATTTAGAAATGGTAGAGACTTCAGGCTTTGAAACCAGCCTATGTGATTGTTGTAATTATTATCGTTTTATTATCGTACGATTTTTATTCGCGAAGTTATCTTCTTATCGTCCATAGCTTGAGAACCTCTGCTCTACATTATACTCGAATCCGTAGGCAATTCGACTTGGATTTGATTAGGATTAAGTGCTGAGTCTGAATAAGTCTATGATTCTCTGCTCGAAGCAGTGACTATCATTTCCTTATCATTTAGAAGCGTTACGCGATCCTCAAGATGAGAGACTCTGCTCTATACGGATCTTCGGATCAACTTAAATCTGATTAGAATTAAGTCTGTGCTAAGTTCGGCTAAGTCGACAATCCGGTGGTCCAATCGAGTGGCTATCGGGCCATTAAAAATTCAAAGCGTCGTGAAAGCCGCAAGTTGAGGGACACTGAGCTAAACTATCCTCCGAATCCTCAAGCGGTTCAGCTTAGACTCGGTTAAGATCAAGCCTGCGCTAGGTTTGAATAAATCCATGATCCTATTGTAGCTTTTAAATCGGAGCTAAATTATTCATGGACACCCGATACATTGTACCCGAATGAATTTAGATTGAGGTGGGTCACGGTCGGGCCCAACGCTGGAGACCTATTTGCATTCATGTAACAGGTACATAGTGGCGCGTTGATTACTTTAATAAAAACCAGCCTCGAACCGTCTACTCAAGGCTATTAACCGTTCGAGTGCGCACCGGTCCTCCCGAAAACTCGCTCGAACATTTTCGCCTAATTCCTGATGCGTCTTATATTTTTATTAACCCTTTGCACTCGGATGTTTCTTACTAGAAATATTTAACATTTCTTTACGAGGCGAAGACGATGTTTTTTGAGACTAATTGAAAGAGAAATCACCAGTACATTGAAAAACGACGCTGTTTTATTCCAATGTTTCACGTGTCGAGGCATTATACAAAACCTTTGCACTCGAGAGGTGACCAGTCACCAATCGATTCGACGCAGTAAAATTAGAAAATTTAATGTTTAATATTCAACTATGTGTAATGCATCGGTGCGCGAAATATTGAAATAAAGAAGCTTTGTTTCTCAATTTACCTATGATTTCTCTTTAAATTCATTTTAAAAAAACCATCGTCTTTGTCTGGTTAGAAAATGTTAAGTATTGCTAACGAAATACAATATAAAATATAAAATTTAATATCAAAATAATCTATTCATAAATAAATTTACAATTTATCCCTTATTTCATTCAGGCGTCATATTAACCCTTAATTTTTATGGTATTCCTAGCGAAAATTAGAAATGTTACATTCTTCGATCTTTTATTTTCCTTGTTAGCACAACATATGGATGTATGGGAAATCTAATAATTTTAGGGTAGTTTCTTTAAGATTCATTAAAATATTTAATATAACCGGTGCAATATTGGAGCAGAGTTCAAAGGGTTAAAAATAATAAGATTGTAAGTTAATTAAAGTCTTTATCTCTCGAAGATTAAATTACAATGAAATATTATCAATCTTATGAAACTTAAATCTTTATTTATTGATCAAAATGATTGTATTCGGCAAACCATAAGTATATTGGAATATTATATGTTATTTTTGCCATATGATCAGGAATATTAGGGTCATCGATAAGAATAATTATTCATCTATTCAAAATATAATTTTCATATAATCTTGACTATTTTGACAAAAATAAATTTTAAATAGGACGATCGTTACAGTTTGCCACTTTTAAGCGAATAGCAATAAAAATAAAAATTAATACACGTCACCCTCGATTTACGCGGACGTTTTTCACGCAAGCCTCTTTTTACGCGATAAATTGAAATGCTATTTATGCGATCTCGATTTAGTAACAACGAATAAAATATACTTTTGTTTTCGAAAATCTCATTACTATTTCTTTTGTTAAACCATGTAATAAATATTTCTAAAACTTGTACCAGTTTTTCACTTCAATATTTTCTTTTCTCTATTTGCGCCATTTTCGTTCGCGTAAAACGAACCCACGTGGAACGGACTTCCGCGTAAATCGAGGGTCATGTCTAATTAGCAGGAAAAGAAATAAGCTTCATTCGATTCTACGAATCGGTAGACTGCCACTTTTAGGCAGTGACTAACTCGAGCAGTTAAATAAACGATTCATTTAATTTTCGCTCGACTGATCCGGCGAGAAAAATAACCGTCTGGCACGATCGGCGTTCCACAGGACCGCTGCCTCGAGCCTGACAAAGGACCTCCCGTTAGACGGGCCACTCGCGCCGATTTCGTCAGTATCGTAGCAAGGTCGAGGCGTCCGAAAAATTCAGAATCATTCGGACGCCATCGGCACCATTTTCCGATCTTTTCCCTCCATTATTTTAACACGTTCGCTACCTCATGCTCACCTCAATTGTAACATCTAATTCAACGCAATAAATCTAACCAAAATATCGAGAAAATGACGCTAGAACAAGTTATTGAGTTCCTAAATATAATAAGAAAATACACAGAATGGAAAAAATATATTAAATTGAATTGCATTATTACTATTTCTATCTAGCCGAACGTCACTGTATTACGTAGCATTATTAATATAGAAATGCTTTCATATAATCGTTTCATCGAGTGAACCATAGTAATTCGGAGTCACCAGTGACCCCACAGCATTCAATGTGTTAAATAACAATACAAGAATAATTCCATACAAATTTAAGATCCGTCACGAACGCGACGCTGATTTCGAGCGCGTTAACCCGCCCACAAGTCCGGTTCCCGGAAATAGCGAAAAATCAATCTGTGGCAAAGTAGCCAGCCAAGCCCAGCAAAAATCCCGCAGACGATAGCCGCCAGGCGAAACCGTAAAACTCAAGATTCACTCACCGTAGACTCAGGCGTGGTAGGTGTCCTAAGGCAGCAGCTCCTCGACGCTCATCCTCATCGCTGGTATCCTTCGGTCGAGGCACAATACAACGCGCGGCACGGAAGAAAGGTCACCGAACGAAACACACGGCCGATCAGAATCTCTCCGTAACACGCGGACAACGGCGAGACGCTGCGAAACCTAACCTTGCCAGCCCGGTGTCCGTCGGGAAAAGTCCGGGGGCAGGAGCGGCTCGTCGAGTGGCGGACGCGAGAGCACTGTCGACCGCACGAGCGACGACCCTGAAACGAGTTTCTCTCCGGCCGGTCGTATTGGTTCGCGAACGGAATCCGGGGACGACGACGTCGCTCTCCGGCTGCTCGCTCGCTCGCTCGCTGTGCGAGGGAACACACGCCACGGCACAAGCACACCACACGACGCGACGCGACGCGACACGCCAAAGGACCTAAGGACACCGTACGCACGAGGCTTCGCGACACAATATCCGCAATCCGCGGAAGGACTGTCGTCCAACCGTCGCGCTCACTCGCCCCGCCGCCCCTCCAGCTTCCAGCCGCCGAGGAGTGGGGGTATGCGCGGGAGAGAGAGCGCCAGGAGATGCACTGTAACGACGGAGAAGAGTGGAGGCGCCGTACCGGAACACTGGTAGGGGAAAGCGAGAGGGATGCTTCGCGCAGGGCCGTACGTAGGGAAGATGCTTCGGGCGATTTCATTTACGAATGAATTTTCTAAGGGAATATATGAAATGGAGAATTGAATATTGAGAAATTTTGATTGGATTGCATTGTTAGTGAATGATTCTTTGTGAATGTCACCGCGTTAGGTGGATTGTTTAGAATATAGAGATGGTTTTAAATGTTTTGTTGAGTGAATTATAGTTTGATTTGGTTGGTGATAATTCCATGGTATTTAATGGGTTAAGGGGTAGCGAAGGTGTCAAGTGGTAATTGAAATTTTATTTTAACCCTTACGGTGAAAGGCCTCGGTATGGGGGTATGGGGAGAGTTTAGTTTTCATTTCATTTATTTACCATCGATGTGGTTTTGTTTATTGAATATTGCAAATTATTGCGTCATCGTGTTTGTTGATCGTGCACTGAGAATAAATATTTATAATATAATGTCTTATGGGTGAGTGTTACGAAGAAGCTCTTGGTTGTTAGGGGTTAAAATTATTTTGCGAGTTTTGTCGTATATTCTGAATTGACTCGTCGACTTTTCTAATGATAATTATGAAAGTAAGTGCAGAGAATGTAGGGAATTCAATTGGAGACAAATTATTAAACTGAGAGAACAATTTTAAGTCGAAACTTTATGTCTTTTGACACTTTCAGTAGGAATAGTGTTGATGTTGGTGGAGCGAATTGTTGAGGGACTGCGTTCATTTTATATATTTGTTTTTGTTACTTTTGACATTGTTTGTTGAGATTTTGTAAAGGGGATAGAATAGTGTTGTGAAATATTGTGAATGGTAATGTAAGCGAAATGCAAAATGGAACTAAAATATAAAATGGTCGCATGGTAGAGGCAGGGCACCGAAGAAATCGATTCGATTAGAATATGAATTGGCAGTTTCGCAAATTCGATTCGAACAGGCATATTTACTCAGTAATGCGCGATAACGTTCGATGGGAGGGTACACAGTTTCCTGAACTTTTGCTAGACACGTGAAACCTTGATGTTGCTGAAATAGATTGCATCTGCGCCGGATTTAAATAGAGCGTTGTGTTTGAATTTAAATATACAATCAGTGTTTATTCATTTCCATGATGATTCAATTTTTATTTCTATCGTATTAAATACGTGGTCCATTTCAAAGGTCGTATCACTGTTTCTCAAACAATATCGAGTAACACTTTCCAAAACAATAATTATTAAACAAGGAACCAACGAAAACTCCAAGTCTCACAGGGGAAAAGTTGATAATCACTGTTTCCAGTAACAGTTTCCCCACCCTTGCTCCAAGGATTCACTCAAATCAGTTTACTCCTACGATTCTACCCAGTGCAACGCAAAAATAAACAATAACAAACGTATTGCACGAGAAAAACGGTAAACATGTGTAAAAAAATCATCGCAATCGCAAGCTTCGAATTTTGATGGTTATCAGCGGTGGCGGTGCTCATCCCTTGGCTACAGTGGTGCTCTTATCGATTGAATTAACGTTACTGGCCGCAACTGTCTCCTTGAAACTGTTTCTCGCGAAATTCCAAGGAACATTCGTTCCTTCCTCCGACGTTTAATAGCGTCGCGCCTGTTCACGGTCAGGTTAGTCTACGCCAAGGGGTTGGAAGTGGGACGCGGAGGGAAAGGGGACGACCGCCGAGTCGAACGGACCGGTCGAGTTTGCGCACATTGGACAAAGCGTAACCGCAGTACAAACTTTTTCCGCGTTTCTGGAGGCCAGGCAACGTGGTCTCGTAGCTGCGGTAGGTAGGATTCCGAAAGTACTGCGAAGCGAACCCCTCGAGGCCGAAAAAGTAATCGCGGTAAAAAAAAACTTGAATAATTCCTTGATACCCATTTATAACTCACAATTCGCTCGTACTGGAGTCGCACGACTAATTAGACTATATTCGAGTAACGTACGAATCAGTCGAATTACATTCGTTAAATAACAATTCTCAAAGAATTATTGAACAATCGGTTGGAACGAAACGTTACTAACATACATCATTCTAGGAACATCGGCCTATAAAAATAATTACCTGCTTTATTTCCAGACGTTGCAAGGCCGCGACTGCCTTTCGAAACTTACACAATCGAAGACCAACTCGAAATTCACCGGCCATTCCTCGCCTGCGTTGCATCATCGTCGATAACGATCGCCGCAAATGGATCGCGAATTTCCGGAAAGCACGGTTATCCAAAAGTTCCGCGTGAGTGAACAAGAAAGCCACCGTGACCCGCGTTACGCGCGTTCATCCCCCGAAATTCGGTCGCCGATTCGTTTATTCGCAGCTTCCGCGTTCTCCGCGGCCGGCCCCGCGAATAATGAAGAAACCCACTATGGAAATGAACTCGACAGGGCACGTCGCGCCTATAAATATTTTTCACCCCCTGAAAATAATAAAAAAACAAGGGAAAAAGCGGCGGCGCGCCGCCGCTCGCAAAATAAAACATTCGCCCCAATGAATATTAAACGGCCGAGCCAGCCAGGGGAGTATTCCCTGTAAAATAAATAGCCGGTTTACAACGGGCGTCACGCGGGCAAATAAAATTCTCGACACGGTAAACACGGGCCGGCGTAGGTAGCGCCGCGCAGGCTCCATTTTGTTTTTTCCCGCGGCTCTCGCGACGTCTCGCGACTCAATTACGAGACTCGAAGGAAAAAGCGGGCCGAGCGCGTCGCGCCGGGATTTTTCCGTGTAATTGGCGTCGACGCCGGCGATATCGAGTCGTTCGACACGCTTTCTAAGCGAGCGCGATACGTTTTCGAGAAATTTCGAGCCAAGATTGAACGTTTCCGCGCTGGGAACCGAGGATTCGGTTCGCGAGTCGCGAGGAGAAATTGCGGGAGGGCGATGTTGCTGCGCCAATGCTTGTGGGAATATGAAATGTAATATTGTTGACGTTGTTGGTAATATTATGTAAGGTTTGAAGCAATGTTCATGTAAGTATTTCGATATGAGAACGTATAGTATTTTCGTATAAGTTACGGAGACTTGTGTTGTGACGCTAATGGTGTTGATAATGTGAAATATAATATTGCTGTTGTAAATATTATTATTGTTAATAATGTATTTTATTGCGCTGAAGTATTTTGCAAAAATGCCAGAAGGAATTAATGAAACCATCGAATATTTAGATTAGTTACCATTACTCTCTTAAAACAGTTATCTTTTTAATCTTGATGGTATGATCTTCATTGAAATTTTAAGAAGTCAAGTTTGATAGAATGAGAAATACATTTTCGTATTTATAGTACAAAAGAGTCAACTTGGAAAATGCTCAATAGATCTATTCACCTATTTTTAGCAATATTTGTAGCGATATCGTTGCAATAATTTCGGTAAAGAAGCGCTAACAGGTGAATTGAATTTTCAAACGGTAAAGCCGCATTGTTCTTACGTTCATCAATATTTTTCGCAAACATTCCCAGCGTGTTTTCCGAAGGAAATTTCGTTCGGAACGAAATGTCCTCGTTTACTTACTATCGTTGCACGTTGTACGCACCGTTCCCCATTGTGCCTCTAAAAAACACAATTTAGTGCAACTTTTGTGCTGGCGCACGAGCAATTCGATCTCGGCTCGTCATCGATCCCTATTTTACGCGCGCTCGTTCGCCAGATGGCAATCTTCAACAACAATACGGTCCGAGGAAGAATGGGACTTTGTTCAAAATGCATACGAAGCTTATCCGAGATTCTGGCGCCATCTATGGAGCTCTTAAAATTCTTTTTTTCACTCGATCCATTCCCTTCTGTGAAGGCGAACAATATTCCTCTTCAATATTTTCGACAACCCGCATTGTTCCCTTAACAATTTCCATTCCAATATCCAAGTAAAAAGCATAAAGTCTAAACTATTCCAAAAATTACTCTCATTCTCAACCACAATTTCAATGATGAAATTCGTCTGAAAATCATTCTGATCATTATTTACTATTAACCTCTTCGATCCTTTATTTCACATTTTCAAATACTATTTCATCTGGAGACCTAGAGATTTCTAATCTCTTTCATCCCTTACTCTACATATTTAAATGCTGAACCAATTAACCAAAAAGCGAGTAAAAACCAAAGCAATTCCCAATGAAACAGGAAAATAGTTCTTTGCCGAGTGACTCCTCTCGTCGAATAAAAATCGAACGGGCATTGTCCAACGAGGATAATAGCTCGTTAGCTCCGAGGATAGGAAATCAGAGCAACAATTCGAAAAGACCAAGATCGTCTGGTAAAGTGTAAGGACTGTCGCAGCGGAAATTCTGTCCGGCGAGAAGAAAAGTAATATTTCCGTATGATTTACATGCGGAGCGTCAGCTCGCTCGTTAATAATTCAATTTTCAATCTGGTCTTAATGTCCACTGTGTTCCCCGAGTCCTCCCCTCTCCGAGGCGCAGCCGTTCCTTATTCTTCTCGTTCCATTTCCTGCTCCCGGACGGTGCACGTGCGAGAGTAACGCGAAAATAATTGCACCTGGAGACTGTGGAGCACAATTTTTCAATAGAATAAAAGGTCGAAAGCCTCGTGCAGCACGGAGTCGCTTCGAAATTCACGCGATCGTCTACCACGGCTAATAATGAACGCACTTTATTGAAACTTTCTTGGAAAGTAAATCAACGACACATATGTACAGCGACGTTCAAAAGTTCCTGGCCAGCTATTTTTTGTAGATATTTGTTTGGGAACAAATAATGAATAATAATAAACTTTCGAACTCGCCAACTTAGTTGCTCTTTAAATACACAGCTATGAAGACGAGATAGCATGACTCCTTTTGAAGTATTCGTCCATGTAAATATGTCCTTATTTATTATATTAAGAGAAATTAATGTAAACTCATGGATCTAGCCAGGAACTTTTGAACGGCACTGTACGAATACCTACTTCCTCGTGTTGACGCCCTGCGAAAATGAAACTGTGTATTCGAACGAGAAGCTTTTATTCCTCTTTTATTTTCGTCTCTCTATTTTAACAGTGAGGATCGATGAGAATTTCGGGCAATAAAAATGGACAATTGGACTTGGGATTTGGTCTATAAAAACGTAACGATTATGTACACCGCGGTACATATACCTCGGGGACAGAACGGAGTATTCAAACGAGACTCTAGGCGATCTACGGAGCGATAGATCGATGAATGACGAGCGGACGCAGTGGTTCTCTTTCGGAGATCTAGGTGATTCTTGCTAGTTTCCTTAGAGATCCTAGCTTCGCTGACTAAGACATTGCGATTGTACTATTGGTAACTAGAACAACACAGATCTATAACGTTATCGATCGTGATCTTATAAAATTATAATATTATCAACTGTAACAGTACATATTATATCATCAACGCAAAGTAACAACAACAAAGTAAATTATAACATTATCGTAACATTATAAACTTATATCACCAATTACATTAGCACGTGATCGTAACGCTATCAATCATAATATTACAATATTGCAATACAACTAAATTATAAAATCGTCAATTACAACATTGTTAAGCGAAGGTATTAAGCTAATGACATTATAAGATCATGGTTGTGTTTTGTTCATCGGGACGCAATTGAGAACCACTGCGTCGAACGGGGACAGTCTTGCGCGATTTTCGCGAAATATGATCGCGATCTATGGCCTGGGATCCAGATGGTTGTGCTCGGTGTCTCCCAGGCTGGGACACGTGGTCGGCTGCCGGGTTTACTTCGCGGAGCGGTGAACGGGAATTCCGAGCTTTCCAGCTCCGCCCGATCCACTTTGATCGTCGGATGTTCCGCGGACTTCGGGAGCTGCCCGCCTCACCTCCACTCACTCTCTCTCCCTTTCTCTCTCTCCCTGTTCCCTGTTAATCGCTTAATCTCCCGTGGTTTTCCGAAGGAAACGTCGATCGAGCTGCGCCTCGGTCGCTTCTGCTCAGACCTGAAACATAATCGGAGATGCAACGCGATAACGCATCGGTTCTCGGACACTCGAAGTGGAGTAATGTCTCGCTACTGGCTCGTCCTGCCATTTGATCATGATGGAAGATCAGATTCCGAGACCTCTGCGTGAAATGACCGGCACGTGAGAGTTACCAGATCAGAAACTACTTCACTATCAGATTTCTAGATAGTTTTAATCTTCTAAATCTCAGTCCTAAATTACTTCAATAACTGATTTATCTGAGAACTACGGTAAAGCTTCGTTTTATATCCACCCTTTGAATTCGATCGGTGTTAAACCTCTTCCTAATCTCCATCCTAAACTACACGAATACAAAAACTTTGTCTGTCGGAAAGCGCAGTAACGCCCCACTAATTGTTCACGAAATTCATCTTCATTAGAGCCACGCACCCATTCCCCCCGAACGAACGCGTACGCCGGTTTCCCCTTTTGATCGTTAACGAAGCCGACTAGCATCGAGGTGCCGCTATCAGCTGATTACCGACACGTAACTGTGTAACGCGATTCCCGGATAATTGTTTGCAATAAATGGGTCGTGCCCTTCCGCGGGATCGATAACAGAGAACGCGGCTGGCCGATGGAGCTCCGCCGGCGCGTCGCGAGTTTATTGTTAGGTTCAAAGGTCCGCAGCCTGGTTAACCGCGCGCGCGGAATGCTCGAATTTCGCTAATTGGAACGCCGAGATCCCCCTTTTTTCCCGTTGCCGCGAAATTCGCGATCGATGGGGCGATCGAACGACGGAAGGCGAGCGCGCGTTATCACGAACGAGCTCCGCCGAACGATTTATCGCCGACCTTTACGGCACGCCCTTACGAGATGATCCACGGGGAACCTTGATGCGCGTCGTTTTACACGGCAAAAGCCAGCGCCACCCGTTACGTCGGCGTCCTCGTTTACAGGCAGACGAAAGGCGCCCCGTTAACGGCGAATATCGTTCCGCGAAATTGCGACCGCCCCCAATTTGCACGGAATGAACGCCTCTCGCATATTCGCCGATTTCTTTCTACATACGTGATTCTACTAAACGCGCTCCCGTGGAATCTTCCAAGTGGCAAACGTAGTTTCCATAATGATAGCAGCGAAATCGAAGCATGATTCACCGATCTTCCGATTTTGAATCTTAGACCTTCTAATATACATTTTCGAATAAAGCAAGCTTCAGCAGTGTTTCTGAGACAGCTTCGCGGTAAAGAATCAACGATGAAGATCTTCAAACAAGATCAATTCTAGGACATCGACCAATCTTCTCATCTAGAGTCCGAGCTTAAACTCCGACCCAGTATTCCGGAGCACTTACACGATTACTTGTGACTGGTGACGGTGTTCAGCGCTACCGACTCGGGCCCGCTTTCCTCTTCCTCGGTCCTCGCGCCGAAAGTGGTCTTGTAGAGGAAGGAGACCAGCAGCGAACCACCAATGGGTCCGAACCAGTAGATCCAGTGGTGAGTCCATTGGTTGTTCCAGAGTGCTGGACCGAACGACCTGGCGGGGTTCATGCTGCAGCCGGTATAGGGCCCAAAGGCCGTGGCCAGCACGGCGACCGCCAATCCGAACCTCACCGGCACCGAGTCCGTGTTCTTCACGTTCTTCGGGTCCCAGACCGCGCACGCGACCAGCATTAATATGCCTGTCGCGATTCCCTCCACCAGCAGGCCCTGGATCGCCGACAGATCGCCGTGCAGATCGGTCACACAAAATACGTCCGACTCGCCGGACCCTGTGCTCGTCAGATGACCTGCTGGCGTCACCACCTGCAACGTTCATTGTGTTACGAGTATTTCTTGAGAACCACTGTATGAGATATTTTGTTAAATTGATTTAGTTATTAAATGCTGGATTTAGTTTCTTTAGGAGCCATTGGTATGTTATTTTATGTCAATGGTCAATGGTCTGCAGTGTATCTTATTTTGATGCTCAAATAAGAACCACTGTATAGGATTTGATTCAATATATGGTAGTCTTCTGACGGTTCCTTGAAGGGATAAAAGAACTTCACAACGGTGAACTGAGGACCACTGAATACCTATCCAAGTTAAATGCTCTGCGATCATTGATAATTGCCGCCCCGACCGTCTAAACGCAGTTTAACGACCATCGGCCGCGCTTTCTAATCGTTCGGATCGTTGAATCAGTCCCAGGTGAAGTCCGTTGTCAGTCGGTCAAGCCTGTCGATCAAACGCGACGTGTTTGCGAAGGGATCAGCGGTTGCGTAAATCAACCGCGTCATAGCACCGCGCGACGCCACTGAATCGCCGTGGAGGGACGGGGGTCTTGAACCGCGATAAGACGCGGCAAGGGCAAAGTTCCGATTAAATTAAGACTGGCTTATCGGAAACCGACAGCTGAACTAGCTGAAGTATCAATCGACGCGCAAAAAACGAAACAAAACATAAACGAGATTTCCTCGCGTGCGTGTGCGAGATAATGTGGTCGAAAAATGGGGCGCCATTGAATAATCCGTACCCGCTGAGGCCCGACAAGATGGCGGATCGTCTCCGCGCGAAAGCATCGAGCGCAATTCGATCGAGATTATCTCGGGGACGAAGCGTCGTACGAGAAACAACTGTATATAGCGATTGCGTCATTCTTTCACACAGAATTACTTGGTGTACGTTCTGTTGGGGGATTCCCGTGGGAGACTGACCTTTAACATGCCGTAGCCGAGGACCGCACCGATCAGCTGCGATAAAAGGTACACCACTGCCTCGGAAAGCGTCTTCTTCCCGAGGATCACTGCTCCCACCGTGATAGCGGGATTAACGTGGGCTTGACTGATGTGTCCGATACTCTGTGCAGATAATTGATTTTTATTTAATTGTTTATTGCGCGAAACATCGGATGATCGCGTAGAAAAGGCAAGAAACGGAGGTGGCTATTTTCGATGTTTCCGATCTGTCTTCGTAGAAGTTAGGATGAAACGATTCATAATAAGAATTTAATGAATCTACCAGCTTTCTAAACATTAAATTACTCCGATTCCAAATATAACCGTCACGAAATTACTCCATTCGTTATTTCGTTGGACTTATCGCGAAGACGCTAATCAAACCGAAAAGCACCGAAAAAGGAGAAAGAGAACAACTCTTTATCGTTTACGCGCAGTTAATCGCGGGGGAACCGATTCGGGAATTTAATTAACAACTGGCCCGGGGAATCCGTAGGTCTTATCTCTTGCCAGGGACGATTAATTTAATCGGGCCGCTCGATAAGCAGCGTCGATCGCGCGATATCGGCCGCGTTTCCGCCGCTTTTTACGCCGCGACCCGAGGCGATACGGTTTCCCCGTTGATCTCGGGGTAAGCTGGATCCATATACCACTGACCTGGATCACGAGCATCACCGCCAGGCCGAAGGTCAACGCGATCTGCAGGTGGGACGGTGTCACGCCGAGGCTGGCGACGCATCCCATGCACCCAATGAACACCAGGATCGCGGTGCCCACCAGCTCCGCCAATCCCGTCAGCAAGGTATTCTTCATGCCTCCTTCAACCTCCACCAGCTTCTTGAAACCTGAAAAAACATCCAAATTAGATCTCTGTCACGAATGATACAAATTAGACCGGAAACTCAGAACCAAAGATACTCTCTGCATATTCGTTAACGCTTCGCTCATCGGGGAGAACGAGTAACGCGTTCAATTATATCCAGCTTCATAAATGAGACTCGCGGGAAACGACAACGTGTTTCAAACGACATTCAACTAAATTCTACCAGTGGCTGAACGTTCAAACCAAGGTTCCCTTCTCCGAATTTCCCCGTTTCAATCGCAAACCGCATCGACGCGCTTCTGACGTAAACGAGCAGGTGTCGGACAAGGCCGAACGATCAAACGCTCGTTTCACCTGCGCGAAAAGAACAAAGAAACCAGTGGAAAGAACTCCGCGGCGAATCGCTCCGCTAACCAAGAAAACGGTACGAATAAGAACTTGTTAGCTTCTACAGGTTGATTCAAAACTCAGCACCCCGAGCTTCCAAAAACCAACGTGTGTATCGCACAGGTGTGCATATAACTCGGTGCAAAATGAATGTACACGAGAAATCTCGAGGAATCCCGATCAATTCGCTCGCGCACCAGTTTTGAGTCAGCCTGTAGCCTCCGTCGCCCTACATCGTAGCTATGCGACCGGAGGATCGAAGATCAAGAGGGCCAACACGCAGACTCGAATGGCCGCGAAATCAGCGCCGATCCGCGCCGACGAACCCGACGAACCCGTCCGCGTCCCGGAAAAGCAGGATTCCGCCGCGGAACCGGAAGGAATCCGTGTCTCCGTACCGAAGTCCCGTGGCATTCCGCCGCGGACGCGCGCTCGACGTGTACACGGAACCACTTCCACCGGCCGAGTAAAGTTGCAAGTGCGACGGTCGATCGTAGACGACGGCCACGCGAAGGACGCCGCTACCGTTGACACCAACGTGCCCGGCACCGACTCCTCTAGCCGGCGACGGAGATAACCGCGCGCAAACACGATCAACGGAGATCAATCCCGATGGTAATCTTATCGTCCCTGCAGGTGTCCCGTGGTTGATTGAATTCCAGCGAGTTCCATTGGTTCAGAGGATCCGCTGGATGGGCTGCCCTTAACCCCTTGGCAACTGTTGGCGCCTAAAGGCGCTTGAAACATTTACTTCGCCGTACCGTTGGCGCTTATAGTCAGTCGTAAAATGTTATTGACAATGATCGCAAAGCTCGCTTAGATCTGACGTGAGTGAATTCTAATTCGACAATTACGTCTTCCATTAATCGTACGTTATGTAGATGTGACTACTTCAGATTCCTTCGTTTGGTTCGATTCAGTGTTTTCTTGGTTTGAGTATGCTCTCTTAGAAATATGCTTAACATTCTGATGTTAAAGGGTTAGAGGGAATTGTCGTGGATTCAGATCGATGGGATCTTTCGGTGGTTGATGCTGGTCTGTTTAAAAATTTCTGTGGAAACTCCGAGAGTATTAAGATTGATTTGCAGTTTGTGTCGCTGGACCAACTTCAATTTAGATCGATGGGGTTCTTTATATCTAGTCGGACGCGTGTAAGCTAATTAGCCAGACGTGGGTGAAACGGTTTACTAGGTCAAGCGCGTTGAAAGGTCAGTCATGTTTCACTCGCAAGGACCATCGTTAAACCTTCGTCGATGCGAAACAAATGCGGATGCGTCGTTCTCGAATTGATATTCAAGATCTGTGGGGCCTAGCTACCATGAAACGAATTTACGACCGACTTCGAGGTATTCCCGTGAATTTCAACGCGACTCGTTGCAGCCGCCTTGACACGGATAACTGGAGTCTGCGCTTTGGATCGCGAGCCAGGATACTTTTCCCAGCGACCGTGGACCCTGACGCGTCTCAGCCAAGTTCATTGATGAACGATACATGCTATCAGCGGCTGGCTGGGGAGAACTGGGGTACATTGATTGGAGCTTGATCTGGGTTAACGCTAACACATGTCGGGCATAGTGTGTATCAAGTCTAGACCAAGTTATGCAGACGCTTTCTATTATAAGCATACTTCTGCATAAGGTATGCCACATACCCTAAATTGAGTCCGCGTTCAATCTTAGTTGCTTTACTCCCCAGAAAACTGGAATCTACGTTAATTGAAGTTTGATCTCAGTTAGGAGACTTCAAATCTAGGTGTAACACGTGTTACGCATAGTTTATACCAAGCGAATACCAGCTCAGACATGTTCTGCTCGAAGTATAGTTGAAAATTACGTATAATTTACTCGAAACTAGATCTCTGTCTAATCTTCTTAGCTGAGTTCAATGTTCAAGCTTTGCCTTCGGCTGAGCTTCATTAAATTGTTCTATAATATTTCAATTCAGATCAACGAAAAATCCTCGAAAATCACGGAACTAGACACCTGTTTCGATTAGGTATAGAATCATTGTTCCGCACCATCGATTAGCGAGCTATTTTCATCAAAATTTCTATCGCATTGTTCGATTCTTTCGAAAAATTGTGATGCCATTTCCCAGATACCTATCAATTATTCCCATTCACCGGGCAATCGTGCGGGAACGTCCCAGTTTCACTGGATCCGAACTATTATCGCGGCGAAACGCTGGAAAAAGCATCGATCGATGTAACGTCGGATCGCGGCCAGCGAATTGTCCGCGTCCCACGCGGTCGGATAATAGCGGATAACGAAATCGTGGTCCGCGCTAGTATCGATCATCCACCGATGAGCGGCGGTGCCGCCGATTACTGGATCGTTGGATCTTTATGCGTTCCGGGAACTCGATATTGTAAAAAGTTTCGTAAAGCGGAACGAGCTGTTCATTTTGCTTCGGAAGTTTCGACCGGCCGTGTTTCGTTGACCTTTAACCCTTTACAGCGCGTTTCGCTGGTTTTCACTGTCAGTAAATTGCTTTATCGTTGTAAGTTCACAAACCATTCGTTAATCAAATTTAATTATTGAATTAAATCAGTAAAGAAATAATAATATTACCAACGATCGAGGAATAAGAATTTAGTGAATGAATCAAATTAATAATGAACAGGAATTTGAAATTGAATATCCTAAATGCATATAGATTTTCATCGTTTCCTGAAGTAATTTGAACGAGGGTTTAATAAGAAATGAATTTCCTCTGCTGAGGATATTGTTCTTTGTTAATTATGTTGATTCTACATTTGATTCTTCATTCCCTTAAAGATAATAGTGTCTGGTATCTGTTCTATTCGATCAAACGTCTTAATTGCAAGGTTGATTCGTTACTTTTATACAAGGAGTTAAATCGGTGGTGTAGAATCGTTTGTTCGCGATAAGAAGATCGATGTGAATTCTCTATTCCGTGTTTTCCATTCGTTCTCGTTGCACACACGATGGAGGATGAGATTAGAACATTGTTCTTGCAATTAGACGCGCGCCGCGCTGGCGTTTTATTGCTTGAAATTGCCGAGGAATGATGAAGTAACGATGATAATGGAGCCGCCGGTACGCGTAAGAGGAAAATTGGATTTTAACTAACGGATTTCACGTTTATTTTCGAAATTAATGCGCCGACGATAACGTGCGATTAATCGTTCACGCAAATTATATGCGGAACGCCGGCGCTCCGCGCGATAAAGAAGAATATCGATTGCCCGTTAATCATTCGACATCACCGGTTTAACTACGTCTTCGGTGTTGCGTGTATTTTCTTCACACTCTGTGTGCAAAGGAGATGAACCCGCAACTAGTGTCCTCGACGCGAGGAACAGGAGTGTTTGTTGCTAATTAGTCGACTTCTTTTGTTACCGTGTTTATCTTTCTCGACGTACTGTGTGTACGAACAGAAACTGAATAAACATGAATATAGTAAGCATCGGACAGATATAAATATGTTAAGTGTCGAATAAACACTGATACATTATGTATGAAATAAACATGAACATATTAGATATCGAGGAAATATAAATATATGAATTGTTAGATAAACGAAAAAATGAATGAAAAGTAAATAAAATAAATAGTGATCAAATGAAGTCAAATATACGATTAATCAAGTAGATATGAAATAAATAATGATCAGATAAATACAAACATAACAAATATCAATAATATCAATAATAAACACTACCGCTAGAATGCACAGGGTGATCCAAAAAAGAGAACAGCTCAACACTCCAAAACTAACGAACGATCCAACCCAAAAGTGTCACTTCGAGACTGAAAACATTCATTCCCATCGAATCCTCATCCTCAGCGCGTGCACCAGAAACCACACCTCCCGAATTCGCAAGTAACACGAATTTCGTACAGACTTGCCGATCCCGCGCTAATGGCGATCGCAAATTCCACAGGAAATTCACCGAAAACCTCGCGGAAGCCCGCGGACTCTCGCGGAATCCTCTAATCGCGCGTATAAACAACGGGGGAATCGAGAAGCGGCCGCGATTACCATAAAGGTGCCAATCGGCATAGAATTATTGGCTCGCCCGTAAAAATCGAGTCGGTAGTCGGCGCCGGCCGAGGCGAGTGCGCGTCGCGTTCGTTCTCTGATTACTAACACGTGGAAAATTTGTGCCCGCCGGCAGAATCCTTCGGCGACCGGTTACTCCGTGTAGCAGGATCTGTTGCGCAACGAATGCGCGCCGGTTTTCAAACCCGGAGAATAAAGAGAGGAACAAATGGGCAAGGAGCGTGAGGGTGGGACGGAAGAAAGGGGCACGTACGTACGTATTCGCGCGTATCTAAGTGGGCCATTCGTTGCAGCTGATAACGGGAACCGATTAATCCCTCGCATCGATCTGATGGAACGCGGAGAGTTGTACGGGATCGTTCAAAATTGGAGCTCCCGGTTTTGCACATTTCGTTTCACCCTTTGCACTCGTGTGTTGTGCTGGAGGTGACAATGTAAATTTACATTGTGATGTACTTTAACGAGTTGTACAAATGAAATCTTATTAGAAGAATAGAGAATAGGAAACTAGAAGATCTACTATTCTCAATCCATGCAAATAACACGCAATTTTCCTTTGTAAGTAGTCGTCAAGTCGTCATTCATAATGCGATCACCCGCAGTCATTCACAGACAGTCACAATGTATAATATTGACAGATGACATCGTTATGACATAATGTTCAACGCAGTGATGGATATCTTTCTGCCTTCTGGCGAAGAATTCGATGATGGCACTTGTAATCTTTTCCGAATATACTATTCGATCATTTTCCCGAATTGCGTTACAGTAGCAAGGTGAGAAATTGTTATAATTCTATATTCAATAAACGTCATGTTTCTGTTGTGTGAAGCTCAAAGATTATTTCACAATTCACAGACGATCCTAAATTCCTAGATAACCATGCTAATCGTCCGTTAAAAGCGTCCCAATGATTCATCAGGGAGCATCCTCTGTTTGTTCAATTTTTATCCATCAATTCCCGATGATTACCAGGACAACTCATAGACTATCGTTCGACAGCTCAGAATAAACCGTGCAGCTCAAAGTACACAATACCCGGCAAACACTAGCTCGAAGAGAGACGTCCAATATTGACTTTCTTCGTCGATCGTGCATCAGAAAATTTCCATTTGCATCAAGTTGTCAGTTCCGTTTTCTCCTTCCTCGTCTATGACGAACGTACCGTCGGTGTTTTACTTTAATTTAATGTATCTCCGAGCGATAGCGGCGGGTTAAATGCAGAAACGTTGAAGA